TATTAATAAGAGGTGGCAAGAATACACAGAAGAACTATGCAAAAAAGATCTTCACGACCCAGATAATCACAATGGTGTGATCACTCACCTAGAGCCAGACATCCTGGAATGTGAAGTCAAGTGGGCCTTAGAGAGCATCACTACGAACAAAGCTAGTGGATGTGATGGAATTCCAGTTGAGCTATTTCAAATCCTGAAAGATGATGCTGTGAAAGTGCTGTACTCAATATGCCAGCAAATTTGGAAAACTCAGCAGTGGCCACAGGACTGGAAAAGGTCAGTTTTCATTCCAATCCTTAAGAAAGGCAATCCAAAAGAATGCTCAAACTACCCCACAATTGCACTCATCTCACATGCTAGTAAAGTAATGCTCAAAATTCTCCAAGCCAGGCTTCAGCAATACGTGAACCACAAACTTCCAGATGTTCAAGCTGGTTTTAGAAAAGGCAAATGAATCAGAGATCAAATTGCCAATATCCGCTGGATCATCGAAAAAGCAAGAGAGTTCCAGAAAAACATCTATTTCTGCTTTATTGACTATGCCAAAGCCTTTGACTGTGTGGATCACAATAAACTGTGGAATATTGTGAAAGAGATGGGAATACCAGACCATCTGACCTGCCTCTTGAGAAACCTGCATGCAGGTCAGGAAGCAACAGTTAAAACTGAACATGGAACAACAGACTGGTTCCAAATAGGAAAAGGAGTACATCAAGGCTGTATATTGTCACCTGCTTATTTAACTTCTATGCAGAGTACCTCATGAGAAACGCTGGGCTGGAAAAAACACAAGCTGGAATCAAGATTGCCGGAAGAAATATCAATAACCTCAGATGTGCAGATGACACCACAGTTATGGCAGAGAGTGAAGAGGAACTAAAAAACCTCTTGATGAAAGTGAAAGAGGAGAGTGAAGAAGTTGGCTTAAAGCTTAACATTCATAAAACTGAGATCATGGCATCTGGTCCCATCACCTCATGGGAAATAGGTGGGGAGACAGTGGAAACAGTGTCAGACTTCATTTTCTTGGGCTCCAAACTCACTGCAGATGGTGACTGCAGCCAGGAAATTAAAAGACGCTTACTCCTTGGAAGGAAAGTTATGACCAACCTAGATAGCATGTTACAAAGCAGAGACATTACTTTGTCAACAAAGGTCCGTCTAGTCAAGGCTATGATTTTTCCAGTGGTCATGTGTGGATGTGAGAGTTGAACTGTGAAGAAAGCTGCGTGTCGAAGAATTGATGCTTTTGAACTGTGGTGTTGGAGAAGACTCTTGAGAGTCCTTTGGACTGCAAGGAGATCCAACCAGTCCATCCTAAAGGAGATCAGTCCTGGGTGTTCATTGGAAGGACTGATGCTGAAGCTGAAACTCCAATACTTTGGCCACCTCATGCGAAGAGTTGACTCAGTGGAAAAGACCCTGATGCTGGGAGGGATTGGGGGCAGGAGGAGAAGGGAACGACAGAGGATGAGATGACTGGATGGCATCACCGACTCTATGGGCATGAGTTTGAGTAAACTTAGGGAGTTGTTGATGGACAGGGAGGCCTGGCATGCTGCAATTCATGGGGTCACAAAGAATCGGACACGACTGAGCGACTGAGCTGAACTGAACTGATGGAAAGTCATGCTAATGTAGACAGTAAGCTGTATGTTTGTAGGTGGTTTCTGTTCTCTAATTTTCTCTCTTGTAAGATGTCACATAATCTTTATTTTGTTTACAATCATTATGGCCATCTATTTCATTATATATAATACAGATTTAGCAAAATATTTTATTCCCTCTTCAGTTTTGCTTCAGAATCAATGATCAGCACTAGGATCCTACTTTGGGAGAAGTTGGCCCATTGTTTTCAAACCTTTTATTATTGTTACTATTATTGAGCTCTCTTAGGCATTTTCTTAACCTTTGTATAAATCTACCTTTCTAAAGTATAAATCTACCTACAGATGTGTAGCTGGGGTCTTATCGAATCATATTTTTAATTTATCTTTTTTTTCTTTTTAAATCCTTGGTACTGTTTTTTGAAGATTGTCTTGAACTACCAAGTAAACCCTTGTTCATTTCTTTTTTTCTTCAGAACCTATCTTTTTGTGTTTAATGTTTTGTCTCTTGAAAGCTCTCAAAACTGAGTCTAGAGAAGGGCAAAAAGGAAAAAAGAAAAACCCGTAAGTTTTAGTAACCCTCAGTCATATTGTTGTTAGGAACCTCTGCTTTCCTTTCCACGCTAGAATCCCTTATGTCAGAGATCTAGTTCCTAAACATCAGCAGAACTTGCTGCACTGTTCATTTGTAAATGCTTTTCCTTTAATCCTTTAATTACCAATAGCTAATGATTGAATAACACAAATTCCTTTACATTTATAAGGACATTAGCTCACTGACATCTAACTAATTTGAATTATAAAGATACTATGTAATTTAACTAAAGTACTAGTTTTTCAATCAGTAAGTTTACCATACCATCTTATTTACTTATAGCATTAATGATTCATTCCTTTGTTTTGAAGCCTTGGTACTGTTTAAATAATAAGCTGTTTCAAAGTAGGTGAAATGTAAAGCTGATGTTGGGACTTCCCTGGGGGCTGCACTGCAGGAGATGGGGGTTCAATCCCTGGATTGGAAAGATCCCCTGGAGAAAAAAAAATGGCAACCCACTCCAGCATTCTTGCCTGGAAAATCCTTTGGACAGAGGAGTCTGGTGGGTTACAGTCAACAGGGTCACAAAAGAATTGGCATAACTTAGTGACTAAAACAACAATAAAGCCATTGTTAGCTGTACATACATCAGATGAAAAATTTGAAATTAGTTTTAATGACATGGGTGGGAGTGTATGTAAGAGGGAAGATTTAAGAAATGAACGGAGTATGTGAGAGAGCTAATGAATGGTTAGTTATGCCACCAAAGAAGTGGAAGAATTGAGTAAATGAGTCAAGCAAAATTTTGTTACTTTAAAGAAAACCTTTACAGGCTTAATGATTTTCCTGTTTCTCACTTGTCAGTGATGGTTCCCTGCAGGTTATGATTTCATTTCATATTTCATTCTTTTATATTCTTTCTTTGAAGACATTCTTCAAGGGGAAGAGGAAATCTTCAAACTGATAGGTGAGTTATTTCACATTCAATCAACTTATTTAGAATTTTTCTAAGTGGATTCAGGAACCTCTGGGTCACCAGTCTAAACTAAAATTTCTATGATTTTTTACTTACATTAAAAAAAATTTTAAATCACGTTTAACATTTACAATTTCATTTCTCAACCATTCTACTATATAGTTTAACCTGACTAGATCCACATTGCAGAAGGAGCACACACACACACACACACACACACAAAAAAAAAAAAAAGAAGGGAAGAAATAAAAAGAAAAAAGTGAAGGACATGATTTGCCTTAGATTTTAGAGTTTTCTCAGGCCTAGAAAATATGGTCACTGTTTTCCTTCTTTTTTGTTTTTGCTTAAGTTACCTGACCTTGACTGTCTTTATAAGGTCATGCCTATTTGAGGATTCTTGAAAGAAGTGCTTTGATTATCTACATTGTCCACCCTAACTTTAATTCAATAAAATGTGCTACTTACCAATAATCATGGCAAGGTCCTAGACTTGGTATGAAGGATACAAAGGTAAATAAATGAAGCATTATTCTTTTCCTTAAGGAACTTTAGAGTCAATGGAAGATTTAGCTTGGACATAACAATGATCACTATTAGAAAGTGGCAAAGACAGTCACATGGGAGCTCAGAAAAGGGAGAAAAGGAAAGACCTCAGTAGGAGCTATTGTGTGACTGGACTTTGGAGAGTGGAGACATGGGGAAAGCAGAGTGAAATGCATGGCTAAATCTGTACATGTTGTATTTTCAATGGTCTAGGAACACTACATCCCAAAAGGTTGAAGTGAACATAGGAAGATAAAGTTGAAGATGTTGTTTAGTTCCAGATTGTGAAGGATGCTATGGATGGCAAATTGAATTTGCTGTTTACTGCATGGGTGACAAATTACAGAGATTTTGAACAGAAGAGTGTCACAGCAATTTTTCTTTCTTTTTTTTTTTTTTTTTTTTTTTGTGAACCTGACAATAAGAAGGAATAAGCAGATTGAGATCACAGGCTGTATAGTTTAAGCTTGGAAGCTTAGTGTCTGATGTAAGGTGCAATACAGTATATGAGCATGCAATAAAATATATTTTAAGTTCACAAAAGAAAGATTGTAAAACTGATGGCTACGAGATCATGAAGAAATGATTGAAAACTGATGCAAGAGATGGGGAAAGCTTGGGCTTAATTATGGGACCAGAAATTTGCAAAAGGAGACAATATAAGGTGGAATTTACTTATACATTTTGTCTGAATACAGACAACAATCTGTAGAAGGTGATAAAGGTGTGAGAGGGTGATGAATGCTTGCTTTGCTATTGGGAAGGGCAGAGTGGCTGAATAATGTTCCCCATTCAATCAATTTGTGTCCAGATATCATATATTTCTATAGACAAATGCAGTGACTCTGTCTGATGGTTTCTCTCAGACATCATGAGATATCTGGTAGTTTACAGATGATTTTGTGTACATTGTGGCAAGCTCAGGACAGATGGCTGTGGAGAATAGCACAGAAACATTAAAAGAGGGGAGATGAAGGGCCATGGGGCAAACAAGACCTGCTGCCTCCTCTCTTCCAGGTACTAGACCCCGGTCACTATCTAACACCATTTAAACCAGTAACATGTTACTTCTAACTAAGTTTAGATTATGGTAGTTCCTATACTTGCTTCATCTAAGTTCATGGCTGAACCTTTCTCTTTAATTGTTCCTTTCTGAATCTGTCTGTGTTCTCCTGCCTAAGTAGATGATGATTTCATTGAAGAACCCCCAGAAGAGTCACACCTCAAGCCTCAAGGAGAACATAAAGGTCAACATAGCGAGAAGGATGAAAATGGGAAGAAAGGTCATGGTCAGCAGTGTAAGCCTCGCAGCCTGAGTGCCCAAGAGGATGAGGAATGCTCATGCTGCAGAGATGGTCAAGGTGGCCGTAGTGGCCAAGGTGACCAGGATGACGAGGGTGGCTGTGGCAGCCAGAGAGCCCAGCGTGGAAGAGGTGGCAAGGGTCGCCAGGGTGGCTATGGTGGCCAGAAAGGCCAGCATGGAAGAGGTGGCCAGAATGATTGCCAGTGGCAAGGAACACCAACTAAAGATGTCCTACACTGATTCCCTAGGTATTAATTGTAGTTTTATTTACTAATCTAGTGTTTTTCTCTCTGAACTTCTAATTTTCTCTTTTGTTTCTTTTCATTCCTCATTTTTAAATTTTGGCTTTAATCCTTCTTAAATTCCTTGTCCAGATTTTCCCTTGTCACAAATGTCTTGCCTCACATTCACACATAGAAAAGTCTTTAATGTATAAAGCAGTTGTAGTACAATGGAGTAGTACTCAGCGAACAATTGTTTGAATAAAAACCAACAATTTTGAGTCAGTTATAGTGAGGTGGATGACCTAAAGCCTGTTGAAGTAAGTCAGAAGGAGGAAAACAAATATCGTATATTAACTCATATATATGGAACCTAGAAAAACTGTACAGATCAACTTATTTGCAGTGCAGGAATAGACATAAGATGTAAAGAACGGATTTGTGGACACAGTGGGAGAAGGAGTAGGGGGACAAACTGAGACAGTAGTATTGACATATATACACTACCTTGTGTAACATCTAGCTGGTGGGAAGCACCTGTATATCACAGGAGCTCAGCTTATTGCTCTGTAATGACCTAGAAAGGTGAGATGGGGGTTGGGGTGGGAGGGGGGCTCAAGAGGGAGAGGATATATGTGTACTTATAGCTAACTCATGTTATATAGCAGAAACCAACACAACAATGTAAGGCAATCATCCTTCAGTTAAAAGAAATTAAACAAAAATGAATAGGATTGAAAAAAAATCTCTTCCATTCTCATAAGAGCAAGTATTACTTCTACCACGAGCTTTTATTTTCACTCATTTTCTTTATATTGTCCTTCGCAAAGTGTACCTCTCCTCCCACCTATCTTTCCTCTCTTTTCTTCCCTTCTCTTTCTCCTCTCTTGATTCCCCCTGCCTCCTTCCCCTCCTCTCTCTTAATGTGATGTCTTGTAATAAGACTATTTAACAGCAGAAATACCAAACATAGTTATTACTTCTAATTTTTGTTTCAGAAATCGATGGAGATCTTCTGGTGACTGTGGACTTTTCAGTATTTTAAATGTCTTGGTACTTCCTTTCTCCAATTCAAAACATCAGTAAAGTCATCAGCATTAGACCCTGGCTCCTGTTTGCCTTCCAGGGTCATGGTTCAGTAGAGGGACAAGAAGGACAGACTGGGAGATACAAAAACCTGATAGGAATCCAGATGTTCTGTATTGTGAGTCTTTACAGGTAGCTCAGGTTTTAATAATTTAATAATTTTAATAATTTAATAATTTTTTTTGGACTAACTACTGCTACTATTTCAAAGCAAAACATTTCATTCTTGAGGCCAGCAAGGGAGTCTGTCAAGTTTTGATTATCAACACACAGAGACATTCTCTTTCTCAGCTCAGGCACTGAGAAAGTAGTCCTGTAAACTCCCTTGATGTCTGACAGTCTTTCAGTGCATGCATGACATATTACTATAGTTCTATTCATGTCTGGGGTTCTGGAAGGCTCCCAGGACCTGTTAGTCCTCAACAAGCCCTGTTGGAGACAGGTATCTTCCACCTGTCAATCACACAGGCTTTTCCCTTGGTTTAGAGACTTACAGATAGAGGAGGCTTTAGGAGCCTTTAGCTCCTATACATTGACTCAACTTATTTCTTCTGCAAACATGCATTTGTAGAAATGGTATGAAGTTGAATCTGTCCAAAAGTGAGTATTATACATTGAATGATGTCTCCTAGAAATTCATATGTTGAAGTCCTAATACCAGTATCTCAAAACATTGACCTTACTTAGAAATAGGGCTATTGCAGATGTAATTAAGACAAGTTCATATCGAAAAGAAATAGGGTGGGCCCCTCATTCAGTATGGCTGGTGTCCTTGTAAAAAGGGAAGATTTAGAGACAGACATGTACACGAGAAAACCATGTGAAGATGAAGGCAAGACTGAGATGATGTGACAGATGCTAACGAACACCAAAGATGGCCACCAAACTACCAGAAACAGTGAGAGAGGCCCAGAACAGTTTCTTCTTCACAGCCCTCAGACTGAACCAACATACCTTGATCTTGGCCTTCTGGTCTATGAGCAAATAAATTTTCATTCTAAGCCACCAGTTTATAGTACTTTGTTACAGCAACTGTAGCAAGCTAATGATACAGTGAGAAAATTTACCGACCAGGTTTTTTAAATGAAAGAGCTTATACAGACTAATTGCGTGCGTGCGTGCTGTGTGTGCCTGCTAAGTTGCTTGTTATGTCTGACTCTTTGTGACCCTATGGATTGTAGCCCACCAGCTTTTTCTGTCCGTTGGATCCTGCAGGCAAGAATACTGGAGTGAGTTGCCTAGCCATCCTCCAGAGGATCTTCCTGACCCAGGGATTGAAACTGCGTATCCTGCAACTTCTGCATCACAGGTGGATTCTTTACCACTGAGCCACCAGGAAAGCCCATATAGGCTAATTACCACACATTTATTCCATTTGCCTCCAAAGCTTTGAGTGGAGACCAACAGAAGTGTTACAAAGGAGCATCCTTCAGTTGGTGGCTCAGTATGATTCAGGTCAGGAATTGTGCCTAGCAGAGAAGTTCTTTGTTTCTGTGAGTGTTGTGACTCTCCTATGGGGAGTCATACTTGTGAATGTAGACGAACCAAGCAGATTGTCTATACAATTAGTGACAGTAAAAATGAAGGCTCTAGTGGACATTTCTGTCAATGGCATAAGTAGTTTGCTTTTAGTATTTGTGTGAATGAAGAACTTACATGCTAAGACAACAGAAAGGGAAACTAAACATGTTCAATGTTGTTCATTTCCACACTCAGTGCCAGGTTCAGTTCTGGAATCAGACCTAGAAATGGACTTTTTCTTGGAAGGAAAATTAATCTCTGGTTGTTCTGACTTTCTCAGTGCCCTGATTGACCTTCTTTTCAGTTTCTGAAAAATAACATGGTCTTTCTACAGATGGAATTTCACAATGTGAAACATATGAAAATATACAAGTCAGAGGACAGGAGCATTTAGAAATGACTGGGTGAGGGTTTGGGAAGAAATTTGCAGCTTTTTTTTTCACCATGCAAGCAGAGTAGGAGTCCAAGTTGTGATCTTTCCCAATTTTCCATTATTTATTGAAATCTTGGGGGAACAAAGTAAAAAATAAAAACCAACCAACCTCATAAGATAGAGATGGTTGGATGGCATCACAGACTCAATAGACATGAATTTGAGCAAACTCTGGGAGCTGGTGAAAGACAGGGAAGCCTGGCATGTTGCAGTCCATTGGACCACAAAGAGTTGGGCACAGTTTAGCAACTGAGCACAGCACAGCAGCAATCATTTTTTAAGGATAAAAGTGGGAATTTGCATGTAAATTTTAGTTGTGTGTTCTAAATTTCACACAGAAATTAAATACAATCAGCCTGTAGTTAGCCTATGTAGGTTCCACACCTGCAGATTCAGACAACCCCAGATTAAAAACATTTGAAAGAAAATTCCAGTGAACTTCAATTTGACACATGCTGGCAGCTATTTGTATAACATTTACATTATATTTACAACTATTCACATTGAATTTACATTGTATTCAGTTTGGTTCAGTTGCTCAGTTGGGTCAGACTCTTTGCAACCCCATGGACTGCAGCATGCCAGACCTCCCTGTCCATCACCAACTCCCAGAGTTTACTCAAACTCATGTCCATCGAGGCGGTGGTGCCATCCAGCCATCTCATCCTCTGTCGTCCCCTTCTCCTCCTGACCCCAATCCCTCCCAGCATCAGGGTCTTTTCCAATGAGTTAGCATTTCGCATGAGGTGGCCAAAGTATTGGAGTTTCAGCTTCAGCATCAGTCCTTCCAATGAACACCCAGGACTGATCTCCTTTAGGATGGACTGGTTGGATCTCCTTGCAGTCCAAGGGGCTCTAAAGAGTCTTCTCCAACACCACAGTTCAAAAGCATCAATTCTTCAGCACTCAGCTTTCTTCACAGTCCAACTCACATCCATACATGACCACTGGAAATTGTATTAGGTATTATAAATAACCTAGAGATGTTTTAAATTGCAGGAGAATGTGTGTAGATTATATGCAAATACCATGTTATTTTGTATAAGAAACTTGAGGATCCCAGGATTTTGGTATCTCTGGGGAAGGGGTAGATCCTGGAACCAATCCTCTTGGATAGTGAAGGGTGACAGTACCAGATTATCTGGATCTTTTCTGTATACTTAGGGATCCTAATCAGATTTAGGGAAGAATTTTCTTCAAACACAATGATAAGGTCAGCACTGAGAGTCATAGTTGATTATCTGTACATGCTTTGTCTTTTGGCATGGAGCCATATGGTTGCTTCCAATGCAAGCAGAGACATGACAGTCATCACTAGTGTCTGCCCAAAGAAGTAAGAATTAGACTGACCGAAACCCTGACCATCCACACCTTACTATGTAAGAACTGCTGCCTGAAGCCAAATTTGTGTATATTTCTCTGTGTATTTCTACCTTTCTGGTCTATGACTAGTACCTGTCTTTCAATATCTACTCAAAAAGGTGAATGGCTGAACAAAAGCTTGCTGATATCTACTAGATGAGTCATTCTGTCCATCTGAAATTTAAGAGTTTTCAATGCTGTGTTATGACAGATACTAAGTACCATTCATCTCAATTTTGTTCTTGAAGACTAGGGAGATAACCACTGGTGGGTATTTGGACCCCTTGCAAGCACTAAAGTCAAGGCAAATTGGAAGGGGTCCAAATATCCAGTGGTTATCTCCCTAGTCTTCAAGAACAAAACTGGAATGAATGGTATGTAGTATCTGTCATAACACAGCATTGAAGACTTAAATTTTAGATAGAAAGAATATCTCATCTAGTAGATATCAGCAAGCTTTTGTTCAGCCATTCACTTTTTTGAGTAGATGTTGAAAGACATTTTTGGGCTCCAAAATCACTGCAGATGCTGATTGCAGCCATGAAATTAAAAGACACTCCTTGGAAGGAAAGTTATGACCAACCTAGATAGCATATTAAAAAGAAGAGACATTTCTTTGCCAACAAAGGTCCATCTAGTCAAGGTTATGGTTTTTCCAGTGGTCATGTATGGATGTGAGAGTTGGACTATAAAGAAAGCTGAGCCCCGAAGAATTGATGCTTTTGAGCTGTGGTGTTGGAGAAGACTCTTGAGAGTCCCTTGGACTGCAAGGAGATCCAGCCAGTCCATCCTAAAGGAGATCAGTCCTGGGAGTTCATTGGAAGGACTGATGCTGAAGCTGAAGCTCCAATACTTTCGCCACCTCATGCGAAGAGTTGACTCAGTGGAAAAGACCCCAATGCTGGGAGGGATTGGGGTCAGGAGGAGAAGGGGACGACAGAGAATGAGATGGCTGGATGGCACCACCACCTCAATGGACATGAGTTTGAGTAAACTCTGGGAGTTGGTGATGGACAGGGAGACCTGGCGTGCTGCGATTCATGGGGTTGCAGTGTTGGACACGACTGAGAGACTGAACTGAACTGAACTGAACTGAACTGAACTGAAGCACTGAGGACTTTTTTCTCCCAAGCCTCCATTCTCACTGTATGATGATGAGGACATTTTTATGGCTCTGGTATTTCTACATTTAACTGCTCGAAAAATATTTAACTACCCCTCTTTCCCCAATTCAAAACTACTCTCTCAGATGAGCAAAGTCTCCTTTGAGGAGGGTTGAAGGTTGTGAAAACATATGCCATGAAAGCTTGCAGTGGTTTTGCAAGGTCATTTCTCAGTGAAAAGCAGCCTCCTCTTCAATGGACTTTTTGTGAAGTGACTCAGAGTTGGAAGCTTGAGAAATAATCTCTTGCCGCAATTTGGCATTTCATTTTCTCTTACATAATTCAAGAAATACCACATTAGACTCTGTATCTATTTGAAATCCCGGGAATACATTTCTACTAAATTTCACCACAGATTCCTCTGGATCAGTGCGTGCTGTTTAGTGCTCTGCCTGGACTTGCTGTCCTCACGGTAATAATGGTTAACTGTTGCAACTGATAATTCTAGCGTACTCATTGCCAAAGCCAATGGTTATTTTGCTTTAGGAATTTTTACTCTTTTTCTCAGCAGCATTGGAAAGTTGATCTGTCCCTTTCTATAAAACAATGACATCTCTAATTTCACTGCACTAGCTTTTGTCAATGAAAAAATGTCACAAACCGTATCAGAAAACAAAGGATATTGCAGCTCTCAAGCCATCACGTTACAGCCACCCCTGTGGAGAGCCCCAGGGGACCTCAAGATAGAAAGAGGGTGCCTGACATCAGTCAGCTGCTGTTGCCAGTCTGCCACACCTCTCCCTCTCCCTCCTTCCCATCAATGGTTTACCCTAAGGAGATCCAGGATGAGAAAGCACAGGATACCAGTCCCAAGAGAGCTGAGATGCATATCAAAGAAATGACTTCAGTAATTTTTTGGCTCTTCCCATACATAGAAAAACACTAAATTCCTTAATTTTACATATCTGGTTTTCTTTAATTAGCAGTAATCTTTTGATGTTTCAACCACATACTCTTGGTTACAAAACTTCTATATATCCTAGCTCCTCTCCTTGCCTCCTTGGAGAAGATCTCTCAGGGTTACTTGAGATACTGCCTCCTGGGCTTGAAGTCCTAAAAATTCCCACTGAATAAAATATAACTCTCAACTTTTAGGTTGTGAGTATTTTTTTAGTTGAAACTAACCTTAGTTACGGGGATTCCCTGGTGGATCAGTGGTAAAGTATCCTGTCAATGCAAGAGATGCAGAGTTTGATCCCTGGGTCAGGAATATCCCTTGGGGAAGGAAATAGCAATCCACTCAAGTATTCTTGCCTGAGAAATCCCATGGACAGAGGAGGATGGCAGGTTACATTCCATGGGGTAGCAAAAGAATTGAACACAACTTAGCAACTGAACAACAACAATAAATCTTTAGTTACAGATTCATACATTCAATTATGTATTTGACATTTTCATTTGGTTATTTTATAGATCTCTCAAGCATAACATGCAAAAAGGAGAATTTTTTTATTTCTATTTTTTTCCCATTTCTCAATTAAATCTTAGATAGCAGGGTACTCCCAGTTGCTAAGGTAAAAACAATCTAAAAAGTTTTTTGGATCTTCTTTTTCTTCAATACCCTCCCCCCAACCCCACATCTTCACCTAACCAAGTGACAAGATCTATCAGCTTTACCTACACAATATAGAGAATTCATTCACTAAAAAATTCCCTAACTTTATTTCTACCATCCAAATCTGAGCCACTGTGATTTCTCACATGGGCTACTTAACTATGACAATTATTAGTTTGTCCCCCTAGTTGAACTCCTCTCCACCTTCAACACATACACTATCCATTCTTCCTATAACCAAAGTGAACTTAAATCTACATAGGAATCAAATTATGTTGCACATGGTTTCAATCCTTCAGTTTCTTCCCATTGCACTTAAGAGGACATTCTTTCTCATGATCTCAGGCCCTTCATGACCTTGCACTCACCCTAGGTTCACCAGGCTCTGGTTATTTAGTCCATATCATTCTTCCTCAAACACTTGCTCCTCAGGCACTGGTACTTACTGTGCCATCTTTTTGGTGTTATTTGTTTAAAATATTGCATGGTTGGGTTATATTTGTGATTCAAGTCTCAGCTTGAAATATCAGCTTCTCAGGTAGGTCTATTCTGTCTATGCTATTTGAAGCTAACCATTATCTCCAGACATTTTTTTCAGTTGCATTAATCATGACTTGTAACTGTTTGTTTACTTGATCATTATCTGTCTTCCATAATGTTTTCCTTGACTATGCCTTGTGTGAAAGCATGGACTCTGTCACATTTCATCTGTATTTTTAGCACCCAGGATGCTGCCTGATGCTTAGGTATTCAGTGTGTGAACTATTTACTAAATTTACTATTTACTATTTAGAAAATTTACTATTTACTAAAGGAGGAATACAAGCAAGAAGGAATCTGCCTGCATTCTCTCTAACTTCTTCACTACCTTCTCTTAGAAAAAGCCTGAAAAAATATTTCACACACTAGGAGTGAAAAAGAATGTTAAAATCTCCTTTAAACCCTGAATTATTATTATTTCTTCATGATTTCTCAGAATTAACATAATCTTAGAAGATAAACCAGTTGCCTTAGCCATATCACTTTTACCCTAAATATGTCAGTAATAAGAATGACTAAGAGGTACAATCATAAGGCTTGTTTCCACATAAGTACCCTTTGCCTGCCTACTGTTCCCAGAAAAACTGAAAGTTGAGATGCCATGATTGCAATATAAGTAAATGATAGAGTTTCTAGGGTTCAGAATATGAAGACATAGAATATAGAGCTTCCAAGAGTCCATTAGCCCTCAGGGATTGTTGTTTCCATGCTTAATAAAACCCACATAAACTGGCCTCTGCTTAGGTAGGGAGTGGGAGCAATAGTCCTTAATACTATTGAAAAGATTATAAGCTTCAGCTTATGCATCTTATTTTCTATTGCTTCTTTAACTTACAAGGCATTTAGTAAATGTTTTTAAATGTGTTAGTTTAATCAGTATACACTGATTAGACTAACACTCAGATTCAGAGAAGAAAAAAATTAGCATATGAAACTAGTGTAAAAGTAACTTTGACTTTCACTATATTTATTAGCTGTTTATTTATAGACATTTCCTCCTCTGCACATAGTCTACTACTACTCTGGTCTGGTTAATAGCAAAGTTGATCTCTCCAAAATATCTTCATCACAACATAACTGATATGCTTTTGATGGAATACATAAGTTTTTGATTGAAGGCCTCATCTTATGGTATCTTGACAGTCAATGTCTGGTGCAGTCTTAGTTTGCTAAAAGCAAACTTTCACATCTTGTGTGGCAAAACATCCTTCAAGGCACACTATTTAGTTCTATTTAGGCTCTTCCTTTCGCCAACCTTACTTTATACAAAGTTTCTAAATGAACTCTCCTTCTCTCATACAGTGTCCTTTCTTTCATTGTCCATGATCCTAAAATGGTTTTTGAACTTGCTTGACAATATTTATTTTAGTCACAATTAATATCTTTGTGGTGATTCTAATCAGTACTAATTTCTGCTACCTTCATAGAATTACACAGCATTTGATAAAGACCTGTCACCTTATTGAGTCTTTTCCAAAAGTTGAGCTTAGTTTGATGATCTGGAAGAATCCAGCTAGTATCATGAGGATGAGCCAACTGCTTTTCATAGGGATGCACGTAGCAGCAAGATGCTGTTACAGTTTTTCTGAAATGGTCAAACAATATTGCATCTGGAGAAATGATTTAGAATCAACTATGAAGATACTCTCGCTTTTGGCAGTTACTATTAAGATATTAATTGCTCCATGTTCTGAAACATGTTCACAAAAGCACTGGAGAACGGGAGAGAAAGGAAGCAGAAAGAGAGAAAGCAACGAGAGAGATGGAGAGAAAACGAAGAGAGAGAGGTGGAGAGAAAGAGGCAAAATCAGTTCTGAGATTTCCTAAGTTCTAATCACAAGCATACTAAGTACTTTTTAAGAATAATTGGATGTATGAAACCATCACTAATGCAAGAACTAAAGATAATTAAGAGACATCTTGTCTTCTTTTGTCCTACAAAGTGATTGTTTATCTTCATATCTGTTTATGTCCTTAGCAATTCCTTCTTCGTAGGATATATTTTACCTTCCATAGCACCCTTAGAGATGCTTGTCTTAATTTTTTGTTCTCTAGAATTAGGAAGAGTGAATGGCTTGATGGACAGATTAGAGCTATCAACTCACCAACGATCACAGCTAATTCAGTCTCTGGCATAAAGTAGCTGGACGTGGCCACAAGATAGGCCAAGTAGTAGGCAATGAAAAGGAGGAGGAAGGAGATGACAGCCTTCATTGCTCTCACATGAGCTTCTGTGCTGGCATCTCTGCTCCCTGGGGCACGGAGCTGCATTCGCCTGGTGTGTCTGCATAGGGAGAGGATTAGGAGGAGAAATGAGATCAGGGACACAGAAAAGGGAAATAGTGTCAACAGATTGAGACGTATCTTGATGGAAGCATGCTGAGCTTTATGTCCTCTGCATCTCCAACTTAAATTTGTTTTCACCTTCATCTTGACACAATGCCTGAAATCATCATCCAAATCCTTAGTGACAGGAAGGCTAATGAACATCGAGAAGATCAAACACCCCAGCAGGATCCTAGGAATTGCCCTGTCAATTCTCCACTTCATCCAGAGGAAAAAGGGATGGAAGAAATTTGCTATCTTGAGGAAATAGAAAATGCTGAGGCAGGTGGCAAACCAGACGCTTAAATGGTTGATTACTGTCCAGAAGTAGTCAATGATTCTCATTTGTTTACCACCAGTATAGACATCTGGATACAGGACCATTATGTAACAATCCAATAGTATTATACATAAGAGAGAAATTCTGGAGATGGCCAGGCTTGTGAGGATTAAATCAATGGATGCAATCTTCTTGTGCTTGATCCAGTCCACACAGTTTACCAGTCCAATGAATGCATTCCCTAAGATCCCCAGTGAACATTCCCCAGCTGCTATGAGCATTAAGATACACTCCCCTTCACTTGACATGTTAAAATGCAGAAATATCCAATTCACTTCTAGTTGAACAGATGTAGTATCTACATCTACTTCTTGGATTTTGCTGTAATTTTCTTTATCCCTTTTATTGTAGTCTGCCTTGAGATGGAGACTGAAATGACAAATGAAAACTGTAGCTATCTTCCTTAAATCCTATCTAGTCTTGAACAAGTAAAGCAGTTGTCTGTCCCTGGACCCTTTCTCTATCTATGTCCATTTACTTTCTTTGCGGATTTTACTTTTCCACATGTGCTTAATTTAGGCTGAGCTATAGCATGCTATGATGCAAATTAGGCTGATTCATTTTCATGGTCTGGCATTTTCTCAGGCTATGTTTTGCAAATTGGGATCATTAATTTGTAATGCACACTAGTGATTTTAATAGGGCTGCCAGATTTACCAAATAAACTTATAGTGAAAAAAGTGAAAGTGTTAGTCTCTCAGTCATGTATGATTTTTTGCGACACTACAAACTATAGTCCTCCAGGCTCCTTTATCCATGGGATTCTCCAGGCAAGAATATTGGAGTGGGAAGCCATTCTTTTCTCGAGAGAATCTTCCTGACTCAGGCATCAAACCCAGGTCTCCCATATTGTGGGCAAATTCTTTACCATCAGAACCACCAAGAAAAACCAAACTTACAGTACATCCAGTTAAATTGAATTCCAGATAAACAATGAAAGAGTTTGTAGTGTATGTCCCAAATTACATGCAATTAGTACTTCTGGGAAGTACTGAAATTCAAATTTAACTGGGTGTCTTGTATTTTATCTGAACCTCAGGGATTTTTTTTCTTTTTGTAATTAGAAAATGCACAAAAATTGAAATTTGAACAAGAGTCTTCATTTTGTCAAAATATGGTTTTGATTACTACTAAAAATCCAAAGTTTGGGTCAACACTGAGAACTACATATTTTCAGGAAATTTGAAAGGTTAACACTAAATATAGTCTATTCAATTCTAAAAAAGTGCCTCATTTATCTTGGTTGTTCAGGTGAACAATTATATAGCACAAGGTCTCTTAAAGGAAGGCACTACTAGACATGTGACATTTAAAGGTCATTTAATGTATATTTGTTATGCTCTATGTAAGAAGGTGAGGGAGCCATGGTGAAGAAGAGTATTGATTACCTTTAGGGTTTTCTTTTTCATTTAAAGTGTTCTCAAGGGCAGTTATATATACAAGGGGGAAAAGACTAAAATATTGTGCTTCATTCTACTCTTTACCCTCTGCTCTACCAAATTGCATCTGAATAATTAGGCCCCTGGGCTTTCCAGGTGACACTAGTGGTAAAGAATCCACCTGCCAATGCAGGAGACAGAAGAGACCTGGGTTCAGTCCCTGGGTTGGGAAGATCCCTTGGAGGAGGGCATGGCAACCCACTCCAGTGTTCTTGCCTGGAGAATTCCACGGACAGAGGAGCCTGGAGGGCTACAGTCCATAGGGTCACAGAGAGCCGGACATGACTGAAGCGACTTAGCATGCACACACATTTAGGTCCTTAACCCTTCTAGGTTGTTAGACAGGGGACTGAAGATGAAATTTACCTCATTTCTACAGCCTAACTCCTGTTTTGAAGTAGCTTCTCTAATTCAGTGTTACAGAGAAACACTTTACTACGTTGTGTTGTATGGAATAATTCTGGGAATCTCAATACCTTCCAGGGAAATGCTTATCTTTTCTCATCCTTCCTCCAAGTCTAGACATTTATTCTTACATGTGGCCCTGACTTTGGACAAACTGCTTTCTCAATAGCCAAGTTCATAGGTGAGTGCCCTCCTCTGATCTTGGAAGTAATCCCTGACTCAGGCACACCATTTTCTTCTCTACAGTGTTCTGGTGAGTAACCTACTCACAGTAAATAAAATGATACATTTACCCACATAAAGTTTAGACTATAATTTTTTTGTAAATAAATGTAGATTATATGTTTTACTAGTGTTGTCATAGCATGGAAGGTATGATGCAGCTAAAAGGGAAAAACAGTACAGAAGTTCCTCAAAAAACTCAAAATACAACTGTTATTTGATCCAGCAACCTCATTTTTGGGTGTACATACATGAGAACGGAAATCAGGATATTGAAAGAAATCAGGATCTTAAAGAGGTTATTTGTACTCTCAGGCTTACTGCAGTGTTATTCATAATAGCTAAAATGTAAAAACAACCTAGCTGCTCACTGACAGATAAATGGATAAAGAAAACATAGCACATACATATGGCGGGATATTATTTGGTCTTAAAGAAGAAAGAAATCTTCCAGTATGCAAAATCATGGGTAAACCTGGAGGACGTTATGCCAAATGAAATAAGTTAGTTACAGAAAGACAGATCCTATACGATTCCACTTAGATGAGGTATTGAAAATAATCTAAGTCCTATAGCTAAGAGTAAAACAGTGGTTGCCAGGGCCTGAGGGAAGGAAGTAATGAATAGCTCCTATTAAAGAAGTACAGAGTTTCAGGGAATTCTCAAGTGGTCTGAGGTTAAGAATCCACCTTTCACTGCTGGGGACATGGGTTCAATCCCTGGTCAGGGAACTAAGATCCCACGTGCTGCAACTAAGGCTGCGTGCCACAACTAGACAGCCTGCATTCTGTGTGCCATGACTAAGATCTGATGAAGCCACAAATAAAGTATTTTTTTAAAAAAGAGTACAGAGTTCCATTATTGAAAATAAATAAGTATAAATAAATAGAAGAAATAAATAAATGTGGGAGACAGAAAAATAGAGATCTGGTGTAAAACATTGAGCATCTAATCAGTAATACTGTCTCATACACAAAAATTTGTAAAACAATAGATTTCATGTTATATACCCTTACTCAATTAAAAAAGAAAAAGAAATTCTGCAAAAGAGCATTTTGTCACAAGTCTGCCACTTTGAGTCCCAGTGACAGTCACTGGAGATATTTGAAATACTGGAGATACAGAAAAAAAAAACATGAAAGACAGGACTTCAGATGGATAAAAGGAAACCTTCCCAGAAGCACAAATGTTATAAAACATTTATTTCATCAAAGCTTATAAAAGAATATATAGTTAATCCCAACATAGGATGTATAAATTCTTTGTAGACTATATTCGTATATTCCATCAAAAATATCAATTCTTCTGTCTTTATCTTTTTGCAAATAAGTGTAGCTTTTATATTTACAATTGTTGTACAGCATGTAAGTTACAATGCAGTTACTACAGAAAAGAGTAGAAAACTTAATAAAACATTATAATACCTGATATACTAGAGATACAGTTGATGACATTTATTTACTTAAGACTAAATACTGGTACTTTGCAAAGTGAATTTTGCATAATCTTATGCAGAAAAATTGATAATCTTCAGGTAATTAATATATTAATTTTAATAAAAGGAAATGAGTAGATTGAAATAGACCTGAATTCAGCACAGAGAATGGTGGGGACCAAAATGTAGAGACAGATCAGAAGAGACATGACTTTAGATGTGCCAGATCAAATGTTTCAATTATACTCTAGAGAGGAAGGAATTGATGTTCACAGTAGAATCACATTTTATTAATGAGTCTTATTTTTCTCTTTTTGCTTTTTTTTTAAACTTACTCTGTGTGTTACAGACATAATAATGCCTTTTTAGTGACAATATGTAGTTATACCACGGTGCATGATACCTTCTTCCCAATTAATTTCTCATCTAAAGTCCTGAATGGGAAAAAAATACCTGCAGGTCTTACTAAGGAAAGATCATCCTTCTACCCAAATTACAAAGAGTACTTAGGAACGCCCCTTAAAGGGAGATGATTGAATGGGTTCTATTCCTAGCCCAGTGCTGGCCTGTTAAGCAAGTTTTTTGTGACAAAATTTAATTTCAAGGAAATGAATAGAAGATGCCTGAGTAAGGTCACCAGGAAATATTAAGTGCGAGACCACCAGAAGTATTACACACTTGGGAGGAGAAAAGTGTGTAATTGGGAAATTAAACTAGTAAAGACAGAAGAGATCTGAGTTCCTAGTTCATATGTCAAACAGGAGGGACTCAGCAGAGCCAGGAAGGGAGAACAGTTAAGGACCAGCAATGAAACTGTATGATAGAGGAAAAAAAGAGAGAGAGACCACTGTGGTTTCAGATGCACTTTCCATGGGATTTTTCAGGCAAGAATACAGGAGTGGGTTGCCATTCCTTTCTCCAGGGGATCTTTCCAGCCCAAGGATGGAACTCCAGTTTCTTGCATTACAAGCAGTTTCTTTACTATTTGAGCCACCAGGGAAGCCCAGATGCACTTTACTAGGGGCCCAAATAAAATCTTAAAGGAATTTAAGTAGGCATTACAAGCCCGATACTGGCAGTGAAGAGACAAAATCAGAAGTGTGACCTCTGAAATTCTTTTAGGAAAGGGAATGTAAAGATGAGAGTGTTTGTGGTGTAAAAAGACACAAAAGATATATCCATTAGTGTGCTAATGGGTCTCACTACTCCTCAAAGTTGTGTGCCCAAATAAACAGAAAAGCTGGGAAACAATGAGAATGGACCTATAAGAAAAGTGAGTTTTTCATTAGAAAATAAGGTTTGCTATTAAAGTCCTTTTATAAAACCAAGATTTTACATCATGCAGGCTGTTTTCCCATATCTCAGCATCCTGACAGATGTGAGCCTCAGCTTGCTATTTCCAACAATTAATAACAGTGAGTGACCTACATCATAGCTAACCTGCTTTCTTTCATAAGGTAGCTAAATGTTGCCAAAAGACAGGCCAGGTAGTATACAAAAAGGAAGAAAAGAAATGAGGTCACTGTTTTCATAGCCCCCACATGGGCCTCTGTGCTGGAGTCTCTGGAGCCTGTAACATTGGATTTCATTTGTTTACT